TTGGGTAATTATATGATATGTATGAGGCACGTAAAGATTAGAAGTTCGAGAGAATTGGCCATATAGTGTGTACGGTCCTTTCATTACAGTCTTTCAGTGTAAAGAAAAAGTCCAATATCCGCCAGAAAAAAAGTTGAGAGTTCGAGAATTTGCATAACTTTCAAAGGGCGTATAAGATTCAATACATGAATGCGACATACCCAATCTGAAAGGCCACCCTAGTTCTTACATTATTAACGTTACCGTTGAATTTCCTAATCCTTTGTTTTGATTTTATACGGACACGCAACTTTACTAGCCGTTTTCTCTTATTTTTTCTAGCGTTACGAGAATTCATCTGTTATGAAAAATCTGGCAACAACCTTTGAATCTCATTTGTGTCTGTGAAGGATAAAAGAGTATATGGAGAAGAAAAAAGAAGAGAGAAAGAAATATGATCTTAACGCAGAAACATTCCTGATACGGGGTTAAGGATGGTTTGGGAAATGAGAAATCAACGAACTAAAAGAAGGAGAGTGAAAGTACAGAAAATTTGTAGAGAGGGAGGTGGTTCAGTTGGGTGAGGGTTCCATAGCGAGAGGTGAGTTAAAGGTAGCGGGCTAGAGGCTCACTTTATTTTTATGCAGTTATTGATCTCAGTAAAAAACCCATACTCCTGTTAGATTGCTACCACCCCAAGTAGAGGAAAGATGGGTGGGTAACTAGCTTATCAAAAAATGGGCGTTGCCGTCGCCTTACTCTTTCTCTCTTTTGCTAGAGTTATTTCATCTCACTCGCGCGGCAGCGTCTTCCATTGTGGCTCACACACCTGCTCTGCACCTCGTATATACCACCCAACCTTACCACCCCCTACCCCCTCCTCCTGCCGTTCATTGGTGTGACGAAGGGGATTGCACCGACGGTACGCGACGCGATGCCGAAGAGTCGCCGCCACGTTGGCCGGGGGGGAATGAGGAGGAAACGAAATAAGATATCGAGAGTAGGGTACCTGTCTCATCCCCGTGCATTCGTAACCAGCCACCCACATCAAAACCCCTTCCATTTTCTTTCAGGGTGTGTCCCATGCTTCTTCGATTTAGGGTAGGTTCGGGTCACCCACTCTTTCACTCCTACCAACCCCACCACCCTCAAAGTCCACCCAACGCGTATATAGGAACCGATCGATGTCTCTTGGTCCTTAATTACGAGAGCGACGCTTTTTTTTCTTCTTCTTTTTCTCTCTTTTTTCATCCTTCGCTTTCCCTGGCTATACCAGAGGGAGTAGCTATATTCCTATCCTCTATTTTTCCTTTCTCAATGCCACCGCTACAGGTTGCTATGCTTCTAACTATATTCCGTCCTTATAGATATATATAATTTATAACTGCATCCATAGGAAGAGAGTATAACTAATTACTAAACTTGGATAACGAACAGTACGTGTGCGTAGATGCTTTCATGTCTATCGGATTTCGAGATGTGTTCTTTGTTGTGAAACGTAATTTTAGCTTTTGAATCAAAAGTTTATACGACAAAAATTACTTTGAAGTAATCAAATGATAAGATTGATTTAACTAAAATTTAGTTGATTCTCAGACAACTTTTAGTTTAAATTAATCAATTATTTTTGCAAAGTATATGCATGACTGAAAATTAATTTGTGACTTGTTAAATTAAATTCTTTTTTAAGTGTGATTATCATTTATTATCATAAACGTAGAAATTTTTTTCTGAGTTTGTTATGCAATTAAGAATTGCAGGAAATTCTTTAGAAACGCTTCTAAATTATTTTGAGTACTATTACTCGAGAAAAATATAGTTCTTAGCATTTATTTAAATTAAATCTATCAATTTTTTTTACAAATTTTACCAAAATTAATATTTAAACAAATTTTTAGTAACGCCGAAAACTCAAAACATTTCATTTTTCGAGTATAGATATACAGTATCTGCACTCCAGGTGCCTGATACAAATTAATTTAAAATTCATTAGATTCAAATGAAATTCGTTAATCGGGTCTTTTTGAGGTAGCTGATTACGAATATTATGTCAGTTTCTAAAATTCTAAAATGGCGGTGGACATTTTTTAAATTTCATTAGATTTACTTGAAATTCGTTACTCGGGGGTTTTTGAGGTCTCTGATATCGAATATGATGCCAGATTTTTAAAATTCAAAATGGCGGATCCAATATGGCGGACGAAATTTTGATAATATAATTAGATTCACTTGAAATTTGCTACTCGGGGGTTTTTGGGGTCGCTGATTACGAATTTGATGTCAATTTTTCAAAATGCAAAATATTAAATCTAATATGGATGTCAAATTTTTTTTACAATTCTGATTTTTTATGAATCTTTGTATCTAGGAATCAAAATGTCCAATCTAAAATGTTATTTAAAAATTAAAAAATTAGTGATTTTTCATAAAATTTGGTATCTAGAGATTTTTGAGGTCGATGGTTACAGATATTATGTCAGATTTCTTAAATTAAAAATGTTAAATCTGATAACCCAGTGGGCACAGGGACGTCTAAAAGACGTCCCTTTTTGTCCGCGGACGATTCGGGGACAATGATGGCAATGTCTCTGAGTCATCAAAAAGACAACTAAAAGACGTCTAAAAGACGTTTTATGTCTGGTCCAAAAGACGTCCAAAAGACGTCTAAAAGACATAAGAAAGGACGTCTAAAGTACGTCTAAAAGACGTCTTTCGGACGTCTTAAAGACATAAAAGGGACGTCTAAAAGACGTCTTTAAGACGTCTTTTGGACGTCCTTTTTACATTCCTTCAGATCTTAAATAAACATTTCTTTTATAACATTTTCTAAGTTGAAATTCAGTAACATTGTATTAAATTTATTTTAAGTTTAATTTTATTTTTTCTAAAATGTGGAGAAATAATGAAAAAATTTTTCCGAAGCTGGGATCGAACTCGGATACCTTGGGCTTGAAACACTGCGCCTTAAGCACCTCAGCCGTTCAAGACAGATATAAACCTCTACAAAGTTAACGATCTCACTTGTCAATGAAAAGAATTTAACTTAGAAAAATTCCAATGAATTTCACATTCATAAATTTCTAAGTCCAAGTTGAACTTAGAAAATAATATTTTCTATTTATGAAAATTTTTCTATTTTCAAATGTTGAATGAAAAAGACGTCTTTTAGACACTTTAAAGACATCTAATGGCCAAGACATAGAACATGAATAGGACGTCTTTAAGACGTCTTTTTGTACAAGTCCAAAAGACGTCCGCAAAAAGACATCCTCAGGACGTCTTTTGAACAAGTGTGCCCACTGGGAAAGTAGAAGATTAGAAAACAACATATTGGATCCGCTATTTTGAATTTTAAAAAATTATCATATTCGTAATTAGCGACCTCAAAAATCCCCTAGTAACGAGTTTTAAGTGAATCTGATGAATTTTTATAAAATTATCCGCCATTTTGGATCCGCTATTTTAAATTTTTTTTAAATTGTCAAATTTGTAAACAACGATCTCAAAAACGTTAAAATATAGCGTGATCCATCATTTCTGCATCATTTTTAAAGGATGTGAATAAATGGATTTGCTTATCTCCGAATTAAGCTTTTTTTTTTAAGGATGCAATAATAACGCGATTTTGAATATTAAATTTCCATTGATTATAATTTTAGACAAAGCTCTGGGCTGGTTGACGTGAAACGACCCATGTAAATTTGCAAAGTAAAGCAACAATATCTATAGCTAAGTGCATTAGTAACGCAATGCATGTTCTTTTTCACGAAAATTTCGATTAAAATTTTTAAGGCAAATATGGGCAGTTAAAATTTGAATAAATTATTTCTAATACTTGAAACTACAACCTTTAACAGGTCTCAAGGCAAAACAACGATAAACATTTTTCTTTTTCACTTTTATAATACTTTTTCTATTTTTTAGATTAAGTCACAATTCTAAAATTCTTGGAATAATTTTTTTATTAATATAATAATATTTTACTCATTTTTTGGAGTGTACTCCATTATATTTGCCTAGAATGACTACTGTTAATAAATTTCAAATCGAAAAACTCACATCACCGTTTTTCTATTTTAAACCTAATATCGACAACTGGAACGAACGGCGCGGCGGTCGTATGATATTTCCCAAAATACCAAACGATTGAATAAGCATTACATTAAATCTTAAAAAGTTGAATAATTATATGATCGAACTTCTAAAACATCGGATACTTATTTGGTCGAATTTTCAAAACATCGAATGTTAATATTATCGAATATTTAAAAAATCGAATGTTAATTTAATCGAATTTTCGATACATAAAATATTAATTTGATAAAATTTTAAAAACACCGAATGTTTATGTAATCGAATGTTCAAAATATTAAATTCTTATTTGATCGACTGTTTATTCTATAAAATCCTCAAAGTATGAAATATTTAGTTTATAGATGACGTCTCTTAAATCTTAATAGGCATATTTCTATCCTTTAAAATTAAGAACAGGCATATTTAAAAAATAAGTGTGAAATATTATTTTTTATTTTAATAATGTACCAAGTTTCTATAAAATCGGTGTGTTTTGTTTGTTTTTTAAGCATACCTAAACATAAACACACCCCCAACCTAAAGGGTTGATGCAATTAATTTCACTTATGGCTTATTTAAGAGGAATGCATCAAGCTTTCGTTTATAATAAGAGCGAAGTTTCTGACACATGTTGTTTTAGCTTAATTTTTTCAAATTGCGAAAAACGCACTTTTGGGAGGTTGTAACTCCAGTTTTTCAAAAACCTGACATGATGGAACATTTTGGACTACTGATTCGTGAGGTGCAATTTTTCTGGTGTTATTAAAACTGAGCGAAGTTTAAAATCATTATGCCAAAGTAACAAATTAGTTTTTAAAAGTATTTGTTAAGTATAATTTCAGCTTTTTTTTAATTCGTGTTTTTTTAAATATTTTTTTTGGCATCAATTTTCTTTTTAGAAGTTTTTATCTATTTTTTTCCAATTAAAACTTTGTAATTCAAACATCATGTCTTCTAAGGATAAAGAAAAAACTAGGAAAGTATGGTCTAACACTTGTTTTAATCCATTTAAGAAAAAGAACCACAAATCAGTTATTGATATTAGGTATATATCCCAAAACTTATTATTGAGATTTCCTTCGTTAACTGCAGATTTAAAAATTTGTTCCGCTTGCAGAAAAGAAGTTTTTAACAAAGCTCAAGAACTACCTTCTGATTGCATGAAAACCTGTGATTCTGTACATGTTTTGAATAGCACAGATGAAAAAAAAGAAAAGTTAATGGAGACGTGTGGAGATGAATATTATTTAGCAGCTGTCGAAGTCTTAAACCAAATAAAGGAAAAATTTAAAGCAAGTAGAGTAGAACGGGGTGAAAAAGCCAAGATCCAAAAAAGTAATTTGACTTTTATTAAAAAACTGATAAACCAATTTATCAGCCATTTAGACTGTAAAATGTAATAACGTGGCTGTTTCACCCCGTTCTACTCTACTAATCGTGATGAAAAATTGTTACTTCTCACATTAGCTCCAAAATCTAGGAGTCGCAAAAAAATAGCAGCTGAATTTGCAACTTCAGAACGTCAAGCTAGAAATGCTAAAAATCTCGTTGATAAGAATGGAATTCTTACACAACCAAATCGAAAAAAGGGTAATTTACTAAGTCTCGATGTTGAATCATTAGTGAAAAAGTTTTATGAGGATGATAATATGATTCGTTTAATATCGGGAGTTAAAGACTGTGTTTCAGTGCGAATAATTGATGAAAAGGTGTTAACACATAACAGAACATTTCGCAAAAAGTTCGCAAGGAGTTCGCACTGCAAACTCCCTGCGAACTTCAGGCGAAAACTAAATGTCTGCCCTTTTGCGAGTTCGCAGAGCGAATTCTCTGAGAAGTCGCTGAAAAGTTGAAATGTTAATTCGCAGCGAATTATCTGGTAGTTATCTGTGATAAGTTCGGAAATTATCACTGATAATTTTAGATAGGTTATGGATGTAAATTTGCTAAAAAAATAAGACAAATATTTGTTAAATATTAAGAATAATATTATAATAGAAGAAAAAAATTTATTTTGCTTATTTTATTATTTCATTATTATTCTAATTAATTTTGGGAAGTTATGAATTTTGGAGAAAGTTTTGTTATTGTGAAAAACAATTTGGAGGGACTGGGGATTGAACGCGGGATTGACGGACGGAAACGAAAACGAAACAACCAACCTAACCAACTGAGCTAAATGACCAACTACTGAAACAAAAAAAAATCTTTCTCTTAAGTTACATGTGATTTTATTGGTTGACAGAAGAAAGGCAGGTTAATTAAAAAATCTTTTTTTTGCATGTCTCGTATAATTGAAATACTTTCATTATTATTGCAAATGATATTTTTAAGTAAAAATTTAAAGTATTTATTTTTTAAATAAGACAGATAAAATAAATATGTTAACTAATTAAATTAAATAAATCAATTTTTTACAGTATTTATTACAATGCTTTGATTTCCAATTAAATTTGTCTTCAATTTATAATTATGTTACTCAATAATTAAATGTATTATATATATTTTCTAAGAATAAATTTTCAATTTCATGAAATAAATCAACCAATTAATTTAATAAATTAAAAAAATCGTTTATCGGATAAATATTGTAAAAAAAACTTTTAATATAGATAAAAAATAAATAATTAAATTAAATAATAATTAAATTTTTTAAAACGTTTTTAATTAAGTTTAATTAAACTACGATAAAAATAAAAAATTTTATACATTTTTTTGAAAGAAAATGTAATAACCTTGATTTTCCAAAGACAATTTTTATCAATGTTATTAAAATAATCAATTATTTTACATTTTTTTAAAAAAAGGAAAAAATTTAATTGCTTTTATTTACCAATTACAATTTTTTAATTAGAAACAGAAACCTTGAAAATTATTTAATTTTTTTTTAAATAATGTAGAGAATTGTAGGTATTAAAACGATATAACAGTGCTTCACTTTCTAGAAACCTGGAATACCTGGAAAAACCATGGAAAATCGGAGAAAAATTATAAAGTACCTGGAAAAAAATTTTCTATTAAAATTATATTAATACTAGCTGTCGTACCCGTCTTCGACGGGTTTTAGTTTCTACCAATACATTTAACAGTACCTATCTCTAGCATACTGGAAAACCGGAAAACAGCCGATAATTTAATTTGACCGGAAAAAATAATAATTAGTTACCATTAACTATTTCATTAGGAAAATGTTACTATTTGAATCAGTGACTAACGTTTTATTATTAAATTAGTTATTTTTAACCTATTCAAATGCAAAGAACAAAATATTTGTTAATTTTTTGTACTTTAATTAATGTATTAAAAATTAATTCAAAATTTCCACCAATTTTTGGAGTTTTAGAAGAGTTTCATGTGAACTAATTGTATAATTATTATAATTATTACATCAATAAAAATTAAAAATAAAAGCAATTTTTTAAAAGCGAATTAATGTAATCAAACTTTTTTAAATTTCATAAAAAAATTCCTGGATATTTTCCTTTTTTCAGGATTGGTACAGAAACCCTGTTAAATCTATTAGTAGAAATAAAAACCCGTACGCCGTCCGCCATTTGTAGCTTTATTTATGGTTAAAATCAAGTAAATTTAAATTTGATAAGAATAGATGCATTTAAAAAAATTTGGACAAAGCTAGGAAAACAACGTAAATTTTGTTAAACGAAAATAATAGACACCCAGCTTAACTTTTGTCTTTACATTGCTCAAAAGAGATTAGAGAGAGATCTCTTTTAATGTTAGATTAGAGATCTAACATTAAAAAAAAAATTTTTTGACAAAGAAAAATCAAAATTAAAAATAAATTTTAATTTAAATGTGTAATGTTTATTTTAATAATTTTCAACTCTTAATCAATTAAACGTAAAAATTTGGCCAAGTACAGTTTTGAAAGGTTTTTTCATGCTCTTTCGATTGGAAATAAGCATTTTGACAAAAAAAAAATTTGGACCTTAAAAAATCAAAATTAAAAATAAATTTGAATTTAAATGTGCAATGTTTATTTTAATAATTTTTTACTCTTAAACAATTAAACGTAAAAATTTTGCCAAGTATAGTTTTAAAAGGTTTTTTCATGCTCTCTCGATTAGAAATAAGCATCCCTGGTAAAAATTTCGGACTAATTCCAGATTAAATACGGACAGATTAGTACGGATTAGTCCGAAAATTGTACGAAAAAGGTCCAAAAATTATTCACTGGTTAAACCAACCGGATTACTTCTGCATTTACTAGTTGCATATGATCTGACTAACTGCAGACTAAACCGGACTAATTACGGATTAGTCCGAAATCGGTCCTACTTTTTATTCAGGGTATTTACTTATGGTAAATAGAAAATTTAATTCTGCAGTCATAATTTGTATTTACAAATTTACTAGTATTATTAATTATCTTGTTTTAATATTAAAATTAACACTGACTATGTGTTAGTTTCTTGTCATTTCTTTTCGTAGCACTTTATAAATTCTAAATTATAAATTTGAACTCCTATGCGAGCGTGGTATAGTGTATTAGATTTCGGTGCGTTATAATGTTAGATAGGTGTAGGTTCGAATCCCCAAGCGTTAGAAATTTTAAGTTAATGTAAATCAAATTGCGATAGGTAAATCGAAAAATATGTTGAATGTACCATAAAGTAATAATAATTAATATGTGTAACTTGTATAATTATTTTTTTATTAACATTCACTAAATTGTCCGGACTAATTTTTGATTGCTTCAGACTAATTCCGGATTCACTAGTTAAAATTAACTGATATTAATTTCGGACTTCATCGGACCAACTCCGGATTCACTAGTTGTTCACAAACCGTATAGAGTTCGTATTTTTCCGGATTAATTTCGGGTGACAAAAACCTGACCATAAACCGCATTGTTTTGGACAAATTTCGGATTAGTCCGAAATCTGTCCGGTTTTTTAACCAGGAATTTAAAAAAAAAATTTTGACCTAAAAAAATTAAAATTAAAAATAAATTTTAATTTAAATGTGTAATGTTTATTTTGATAATTTTTTACTCTTAAATAATTAAACGTAAAAATTTGGCCAAGTACTAGGACTAGGTAAAAAAATATTTTCACCAAAAATCACTATCCACTAGCACTACAAAAGCGAGCCTTGAGTTTTACTTTCAAATGTTTTTATGTAAACCCTCGAATCAGGACGACTCAAGCCCCGATGCGAAACGTGGAACGTCCCGAAGCGAGATTACGCAGAACTTTTAGTTCAATCATAACAGGGTTGCAAATTGGGATGCTTTTATTCCCATGTTACTTACGATATTTTTTATTCCTAATGCACAAAAGTGGCGATTTCAGATAGCAGACGACAGGGAATAAAAGTGAATCACTTGTTCGACTTATATGAAAATGGCGGCCGTTTTTTCCCAAGTGCAAAAATAACGCATGGGATCAGATGTTACTTTTGCACATGGAAGAAAATGGACGCCATTTTTATATGGTAGAACAAATGAGTGACGTTACTCCCTGTCGTCAGCTATCTAAAAGCGCCATTTTTGTGCATGTGGGATAAAAACATATTTTTCAATACTCCCTGAGTGGCATGGTTTCTTTGAAATTAAGTAGTCAATTCTGTTAAATTTATCAAAATAATGAAACTTTTATTATTGTATTAAATAACTTTACATTTCTTCGTTAAAAAGATTGATTTGTTCAAAAATTAAAGTTATTTTTTGTTAATTGTATGTCAAATTTTAATTTTTTGCTAACGATAACAAGATTCGACATTTGCTTACTTAAATTTTCTTAATGAATTTCTATCGTTTCTTCATTTAATTCATTTCACGTAAGGAAAAAGATATGTATAGAAATAATTAACAAAATTACGCAAAGCCTAGAAAACTTATCGAATTTTATTGAACGAAAATCATAGCAACCCTGTTATGATTAAAAAATATAAATTATGCACATTTATTAAACATTTTTCCCTAAATGTTTTTACTTTTATTAAAACCTTAAAAATTTTAGTCCTGATTAATGTGGTTTTGACCCTAAGAACTATTTTAATTGTAGTGTCCATATTTAAATTTTTTTTCACCCTTCTTTTAAAAATTTTTTTGTAAAATAAAATATTGACTTTAGTAGTATAGCTATGCCATTACTGGACCACAGTTCCTGCGGCTGCCGCTAGATGGCGCCACTGTCGCATACCATGCCTTTAAATGTCGAATTCAAACGAGTATTATCGTCAATTTAGTCCACATAGATGTCAGTGCTTTTTTGGATGCCGCGAGAATATTGTTTGCGGAATACATTGCAACTGTATTGGAGAAGCATGGTCCACTGAAAGTATACGCTGTTCTTGGTGCTAAATTCCGAAAAGTCGTCAACGATGAGGAAAAAGTTGAATCGAAGTATTTTAATGTGAAGAGTGAAATAATATTCCTGACAACAAAATTAATTGTGTGGTGCTGTAAAAATGTCATGGAGCCAATTTTGAAGCAAGTGGAGGAGTTTGCAGAAAAGGAATCACAGTGGACATTGCATTCGATTACGAAATTGGAAATTAATGTAAACAAATATAATGCAGTACGTGTTGGTTCCTATATTGATTTACCACATCAAATAAAAATAAAGAAGGCTTGTGTCAATGTACAAAATTCTGACAAGATGTGCTTCAAGTGGTCAGTATTATCGGCTTTGCACCCAAGAAATCATCACTCAGATCGAGTTTCGAGTTATTATGAGTTTCAAAATGAATTGAACTTTACTGGAATCGACTTCCCCGTCACCTTAAAGGACATTGTAAAATTCGAGAAACAAAATGACATCTCTATCAATCTATACGGACTTCGCTTAGTGAACAAAAATTTCAATACTGTTCCATTACACCTAACAGCAAACAAAAAACTAAGTCATGTAAATTTATTAAGAGTTAAAAGTCACTACGAGAACGAGGCTGATAGTGATGATGATAATGATGTTCCTAATGTTACCATTCCTGCTGCATCTGATGATGTAATATCACCAAACTATCACTATGTATGGATTAAGAACTTATCGAGGCTTGTAAATTATCAGCTATCTACGAATGGACATAAAAAACATATTTGTGACCGATGTCTTCATTACTTTGTCACGGAGGAGAGGTTAGCCCGACATGAGCAGGAGTGCAAAACGTTAAACGAGTGTAAAATCAACCTTCCAAAACCTGGGCAGAATTTTATTTAGTTTAAAAATTTTAGAAACAAGGAGAAAGTTCCATTTGTAGTGTACGCCGATTGTGAGTGTTTGCTTTATCCTGTTGAAGATCAAGAGTCAACTTCTAATATTGAAGTCATTCAACAACATGAGGTGTTCAGTATTGGTTACTACGTTAAGTGCAGCTATGATGACTCGTTATCCGGATACCATTCCTGTCCAGAGGGAGCAGATGCTGCCAAGTGGTTTGCCCAGGAGTTGAAGCAGTTGGCAGAAAAAGTGGACGCTATCATCAAAAATCCAATTCCGATGAATCCATTGACGCGTGACGAGATTGAAGCTTTCGTGGATGCTACAATCTGTCACATTTGTGAAGGAAAATTTTCACCGCAACAGAAGAAGGTGCGAGATCACTGCCATCTATCAGGTAAATACCGAGGCCGAGCGCATGAAAAATGTAATCTAAATTACCAAGACTCACGTGTAATACCTATTGTATTCCACAACCTGAGTGGGTATGATGCACATTTCATAATTAAAGACATTTGCCTAGAATTTGAAGGTAAAATTGATCTTTTACCGCTGAACAAAGAAAAGTATATTTCTTTCACTAAGCATGTAAAAGAAACGGAAATAAAATTTCGATTCATAGACTCCTTCAAGTTCATGGCATCGTCTTTAGAAAAGCTTGCATCATACCTCTCCGAGTATAAAATCGTTAATCAAGTATTTTCTAACCTCACAAGTGACGAAATCGGTTTACTTACGCGTAAAGGGGTTTTACCGTACGAATATTTAGATTCTCGAGAAAAACTAAAAAAAACAAACTTGCCCACTAAAGAACAGTTTTATAGTACGCTTAATGACAGTACGGTTTCGGATGAAGATTATTTACACGCAGGAAACGTTTGGTCCACTTTCAATTGCTCTAATCTCGGTGACTATGTAGATTTATACATGAAAACGGACGTATTATTGTTAGCAGACATCTTTGAAAATTTCAGGAAACAAAGCATACAAGCATATATACTCGACCCTGCTCATTATTATACTACCCCGGGATTAACATGGGACGCGATGCTAAAATACACGAATGTGAGGTTAGAATTGCTTACTGACATTGACAAACTAATGTTTTTCGAACGCTGTGTGAGAGGTGGAATAAGTCAATGTAGTAATCGATATGCAAGCGCAAATAATCCGTATATGGAAAATTTTAATGATAATAAGGAAACAAAGTATATAATGTACTACGATGCAAATAATTTGTATGGTTGGGGTATGGTACAACCACTCCCTTATGGTGGATTTGAGTGGGTTCAAGTAACAGACAATTTCGATTTCAATATTTCCGACGATTCACCGTTTGGATACATTTTAGAAGTAGATTTAAATTATCCGAAAGAGTTACACGACACTCATAGTGATTTACCTTTCTGCTCAGAACACTCAAATCCACCATCAGAGTCGAAACAAGCCAAGTTGTTGACAACATTAGGACCAAAACGCAAATACATAATCCATTACAGAGTACTAAAACAGGTTCTAAATAATGGTCTCGAGTTAGTAAAAATTCACAGAGTCATGAAATTTAAGCAATCAAAGTGGCTTAAGCCGTATATCGATTTTAATACTGCTAGGAGAACGAATGCTAAAAACGAATTCGAAAAGAACCTGGTTAAACTTATGAATAACGCGGTTTACGGAAAAACGATGGAAAATGTACGCAAACACGTCGACGTTAAACTTGTAACCAAATGGGGTGGTCCATAAATTATATTTATAATTGGTGAATCTTAGACTGAAAGTTTAGTTTTATTAGTATGTTAATATTTTAATTCGATTATAAACAAGTTTATAAACATTTTATAATCTTAATTTCACCTAATATATGTCCATTAGCATTTAATTCTTTATCTTAAAGAGAGAAATTTCCACTAATAGTTTTAATAATTGTTGTTTGTTATAAGAAATTAAATGTGACATATGTTTATTTTAATAAAATTCAAGAATATGAACATACACTGTAAAAACAACGTCTTTCTTTAAGGCGGTGTCAAAGTCGATTAGATTTTTGCATTGAGCTTCAATGGAAAAATCGCATCGACTTTGACACCGCCTTTAAGCTCGAAATTTGTCTTTTTTCAAGGTGTAAACGGAAGACTCCCCAATTGATACAAGTAACGTGTTAAATAAACTGAAATTCAACTGTAAGCTTGTAAGAAGGCTGAAATTTAGCTAGATGGTTTGGCTAAATTTTAGCCTTCTTACTAGCTTACAGTTGAATTTCAGTTCATTTAACACATTACTTATATTAATTGGGGAGTATTCTTTTTAAACTTCTAATCATTACTGACATTCAGCCAACATGGTCTACTTCCGTTTACACCTTGAAAAAAGACAAATTTCGGGCTTAAAGGAAGACTTTGTTTTTACAGTGCAGTAAAATTCAGGTATGTAATGCATAAATATCGATGAAAATATCTTTAATTATTAATTTAAGGCTTTTTCAATGCAAACTAATCGAAATCTGCCAAAAACATCTAAAAAGTGGAAATTTCACAAAAGAAAAAAAAAATTTTTTGTTTAAATTTTTATTTATTAATAACTGAATAAGGAATATAATTAAAGGAAAATAACTAAGAATTTTTTATTCATCATGTGAATCGCAGTTATGGCACGTAAAAAGTAGTTACGTCCACCCCAATAAAAGTGTTGCACATCACCCCAAATATGATATTTTGCGAAAAATGATTTGTATGCAATTCAATGCAATGGAAACACAAAATATAAACAGATATTTAAAAACACTTAATAAACCAACAATAATCACATTCTTATCTATAAAATAAATTAAAACCCTTCACGAAACGACTAGAAATGTAAAGCGCGAGAAATATTTCCTTCTCGAGAAATTTAAGTCAACTTACGTACAGCAAACCTAGCTGCGAGCTGTCTCGTGAGTTTTATATAAAAAACAAGCTATTGAGGACACAAACAAATATCAATACTTGGCTCTGTTCAATATCGAACTGTTAATCAGAAATCGGCAGTGTTGCACATCCCCCCATGTTTCACATCACCCCACATAACCCTATATATTGGTAGTACGTATAATAATGTTAAATTAAGAATAAGGAAAAATTAATATTGTAAATTATTGTAAATTTAAAGTTATAATATGTGTATAAAATGATACTGATGTTGTATTTACTCAAATACCCTAATTAACATTAGGTTAGAGCTAAGATTAATAAGAAAACTAATTATATGTATGTCAAGGTATAAAAAATTAAAATACATAATATTGATAACCGATAAATTAATAGTAGTTAATTTTCCAATTATTTGTGAAACTAGTTCGTATTTTTCTGTCACCGAGTATCAGCGAAGATTCCGAATTTCAGGAATGCGGCATCAGCCGGTCGCACTAGGCCGCTTCATCCAATCAGAGCGTCGCTCGCTCCCACTGCGCGCGCTTTCCCACTCAACGGCGCTACAGAGCTCGGAGACAGAGCTCTCATCGTTACTACCGTTCGAGCAGCCGACCTGCCTGGTCGCTTCGCTCTCGATCATCGCGAACAGCGTTACACCAAAAATTACTTCTTCCCGAGCTGCCTGTCTGCACGGTCGCACCGCTCCCAACTACCGCAAACAGTGTTAATTAAAAAATAAATTCACCTTTGTTTTTTCACTTTAAATAATTTCAGTTCATTTTCCGCTTTTATTTTTTCCCATCCATTTAATTTTTGAGTTTTATTCAACGCGCTTTTTACGTTATTAGTTTTTTTTCCATTCACCATCAATTTTTGGAAACTCTTGCGAGGGTCCAAAATTTACTTTCTTTTTCTCCTTCCCTTTAAGAATTTTTAGAAACTTTCTGAGGGTCTAAAATTCTTAAACTTCCTTTTCCCAAGTAACGCAAATTTCGGAAACTCGCGGTCCGAGGTTGTGTTTTTCCCTTTATTCCCTGTCATTTTCCTTTCCCGGCGATTTTTGGAAACTTCCTGAGGGTCCATAATCGTTTCCCCCTTTTTTCAAGACTTTTTTTGGAAACTCGCGCAGGGTCCAAAAATTATAAATTCTTTTCCCAATATTTTTTATCATTACTTTAATTTTGATTGCGCGTGAAATTATTTCCCCAATTAAAGAAAACTTTGGAAACTCACGGAGGGTCCAAAATTTCTTCCTGTTTAAATTTGCTCCCTAAATTCCTAATTTTACCGAGTTTTCGGAAACTTGTTTATCAAGGGTCCAAAACTCCATGGTATTGTCAAAGCCCAAAATTGACGGTATCAATATTAAATCAAAATTAAATTAATGTTAAATCAATTTCAAATTAAAGTTAAATCAATATTAAATTAAATCTGAATTATAGTTAAGTTGATGTTAAGCCAAAGTTAGATTAATAATTAATTAACCATATTATTCAATCTATGTAAGCTTAAGGACCCTTTCACGGTGGAACGTCACATACACTACTGGCGGAAATTGTGCAACCGCTAGCACCTCGAGCTATTAAAAAACACACCCGCACGAAAACAGTGATAATTCCGTCAAAATTGAAGCTAGAATTTCTTACCCTGACTTTGACTCCAGGCAAAATTTTAAAAAGTTGATAGAAGCAACTGTTACTTTTACAGAATATTCCTTGTAATCTAAGCTTTAAATAGAGACCAAAAACAGCAAAAAATATTAATGGGTCCACGAGATATTACGAAAACAGTCATACAGTGCGAAGCAAAATTTTGAACCATCGACTCTTTTAATTCGCCGTTGTATCAGTTGCGTGGCTCTGAAAGTCAGGGTCGAAAATGAATTTTACAAAGTAAATCGTTACTGGGATCCACGTTTTAATTGAATTTATTATAATTATATTTAAAAATAGATCCCAGTAACAATTTCCTTGGTAAAATTAATTCACGACCCTGACTTTCAGAGCCACGCAACTGACTCAACGGCGAATTAAAGGAGTCGATGGTTGAAAATTTTGCTTCGCACGGTACGACTGTTTTTGTAATATCTCGGGAACGCGTTAATATTTCTTGCTGTTTTCGGTCTCTATTTAAAGATTAGATTACAAGGAATATTCTGTAAAAGTAACAGTTGCTTCTATCAACTTTTAAAAATTTTGCCAAGAGTCAAAGTCGGCCATATTGGATTCGCCATTTTGTGTTCTGAAAATTCAATTGCATATTCATAATCAGCGACCTCAAAAACCCCTGAGAAACAAGTTTCAAACAAATCTAATAAATTTAAATAACTTTTGTCCGCCATATTAGATCTGCCATTTTGTATTTTCAAAATCCAATTGCAGATTTATAATCTGCGACCACAAAAAACACCTGAGTAACAAAATTCAAACGAATAGAGTAAATTTTTTAAATTTCTTTCGGCACCATAAAAATAATGAATTGAATAATTTTTTCTTAAATTAGCGCCATTTTGGACCCGCCATTTGGTTTTTTTATTTTCGCTATTGCATATTGTGAAAGTTTAAGGGTTCATACCACTTTGTCATCTTAAAAAAAAACAAAATTTTTTTATTACGGATTTCGAAAGTAAAATATGTCAAAAATGTGGTATAAATTTTTAGAAAGATCCCAGCACTGAAAATATTTTTTTTAGTGATATTTGAGCGCGTATACGGCTATGTAAGTATACAACACGAACTTAAAACGCGTTTTTCTCAAAACCACATATTTCCATCTTCGTCACATGTGTGGATATTACCGGAACTAGAATTATTTAAAAATATTAATTTTTATTATTTTGTAAACCGAAAAGCTGCCAAAAAAACCTTAATTTAAAAAAAAAAATTTTAATTGCCGCCATTTTGTTATTTTTGTAGGGCGTTGTCGGCAGTGGCGAGACAGCGGGTATAGCGAGACACTGCGATATTTCAAACAGTTGAGTTGACAGTGCTGCCACTTTTGGCGAAAAAGTGAAGTTTTATTGCGTTGAAGCTTTTCTATATGATATCCACTTTATAAATGTAAAATCTGTCACTGTAGAGCTGACGATAGTTTTAAGCAAGTTTTAAAGTTTTGTTCTGCCAAACAAAAAGTGTTTAAAAAAATTAATATATTCAGCATTTTGTGAACGGTAAGTGTTTTAAATTATTGGTATGTAAGATTCCTTCGAAATTCTTAGAATACTGTACAACATGTTAGTGCGGTTATACAATTGTTCATAATTTTTTCCCGTAAAGTACTATTTCGGCAATGGCGGGACACTCGTTGTCGGCAGTGGCGAGACACTGTTTTTTTACATCTAAAAATATAATACATTTCATAATAACTTCGGAATAATTTTTTTACGTTTTGTCGGTAATATTTTTCATTACAATAACCTAACCTAAAATTTGCGCATGTATTTTTAAGTAATCTGTAATTATGTAAATAATAATTTTAACTTATATTTTAGATGGCAAAAAATCGTAAACAAATAAAAAGGAACACAAAACAACCCAAGTGTGTCAAATCGATATTGAAAGCCGTAAAAGACATTATAATTGAAAAAAAATCTCTCCGATCCATCTCGAAGTTCTACGGAATTAACAAATCGAGTCTTTGGCGATATACTCAAGGAATACACAGGAAGAAGAAGATGCACTAAAAGAATACATTGTGAAGTGCAGTCAATTTTATTACGGGCTAAGTATCACCGAACTGAAAGAGTTAGCTTTTCAATTCGCCAAAAAGATGGACATCAAATATACCGATTCGTGGAATGAGAAGAAAATGGCAGGAAAAGACTGGTACTATTCCTTC